AGCAGAGTTTAGGTTTTGAGAGTAGAGTTTCAATTTGGTGCAGATGTGAATGGTATATTTCCCAGTGTTGTGTCATGTTTACTTGTGTTTAGGGTTTTGGCACAATGAGCGACGTTTTGCAAAATGTGTTCAAGCAACAGGCAAAAACTGTAATCTAATCTAAAAAAAAAAAAAAGAGTATTAATAAATTAAAATACAACCTTTACATCAGTTTTAATTTGAATCCCAATTCAATCAGCTTGAATCAATTAAGTAGAAAATGAGCAAAAGAAGGAAAATTTAAAAATAGCTATATTTTCTGTTGGGTGAGTTTGACTGGCACTACTGTTTATGGTGTCATTATACTAAACAGTATGAAGGTGAATTAATCTTAGCATTATTTTAACGTCAAATTCATCTCTGCTATACTTAATGTAACCTAACTCTGACCATGAGCACACCATCCACTGTGCACCACTCAAACACAATGCTTTATTTTAAATTCATCATAATAATGCAAGCTAACTAGATTATCCTGAACTATGGTGCATTTTCATGAAACCTTTAAATGACACATTAGCCTACCTCAGTTGGTTTCGCAGCAGCTTTATGAGCACTTAGATGTAAGATTTAAATTTCCAGTTTATTTCATTTCATTTAATTTCTTTATTTATTTATTTCACACATGATTCAACAGATCCTCCTTCCCATTAATATAACACTGCACCCATGGGTGAAAAGGAGCAGGAAGAAGAATAAATTCTTGTTAGCACCTGCCCCCTATGTGCAATCCAATTATTCTTACAAGAGGACGCCAGTAACCCCCAAAAATCCCTCTAACGTGTATCTTTATGTAACAATGCAAAACTAAACAACAAATCTGTATAATCAGCAATATACAGCACTAAATGGCAATGAAAAATTTTCCTTCCACATTTAGCCCAAATTACTTTCATGTTCTTCACATTGATTTATCCTTTTAAGTATATAACACATTTTAAAACGGTGCATGTTTGTACAGCTCTTGAGATAATCTTGAAGAGAATTCCATATTCTTATACCCTTAACTGTAGGACACATTTGTCTTTGTGTGGTCCTAGCAAACTGATACTTAAAGTCAAACTTCCTTCTACTGTCCCCACTTCCTGAACACAATACAAACGCATACCACATAGCAGAGGTTAAATCTAATCTCTTCCTCCTCTCCTACACTGTCTTTATCTTTCTCCATCACTGAGTGAAGTTAACTTTTATTTCTCTCCCTGTGAAATACAGCAGCTGTACTTTTAGCAAGCAACACACTGTGTAACAAACTGTAAACAGAAACTGTGTTCACCAATGTTTGTTGATCGGATAGAAATGTTGCATTTGAAATTGCTTTTCTCGCTCCTCTTCTGTAGTGCTAGATAGTTGATGAAGTACGCAACTATAACTTACAGACATCTGCACTCGTTCCAGTCTACTTTGACTCTGACTATGGTAAATGGGTTTGGCTCCTCCTTCTCTTTTATGCTACATACCAGACTGTTTTGAAAATGTAGGCAGTAAAAAGTTCTCATATTTCTTTAACAATGTAGGGAATAAAAGTAAAAAGTTGAATAGAATACAAAAAATTCTACTTAAGTACAGTATTAAAAGTATTTGTACTTCATTACTTCCCTCCTTTGCTGCAAATAAACCCCATAATTCAGAAATTATTGGTAATGCTTGGGAAAATAATTACTGGAAATCTTAATTAAAATGTTCAGGCACCTCTGATGGAGAGTTGTACTTCAAACTAATTTTTAATTTAAGCTTGTTAAGAAATATATATATTAAGAATAAACTCTGAAGAATAAACTGAGGAGCCGAACATTTAGAATGACAAATTAACTGATGACAAAACTTACAAAACCTAACATAATGCTCTGGAGGTTTCTTACACTATGAATGTGTTATGATTCATTGTTTTTTTTAAAAATTTGCATTCTGTAACAGCATACCAATTTTGTGCTTTTGGTGAAGTGAAGTATTAACCAGTTTGTAGCGCCGCTTGCTGTGTGGATAACAGTGTCTAGAGTAACTTTTAAGGTTAAAGTTTATAATGAACCAAATAAAGGTCTCCATTATAAAAATTCAGGCAAATTATAAGATGCAAATAGATATATAGAAATATCTTTGTTTCTTCTGTTCACATAACTGTTTTAAAATAAATGTATTTATAATCAAACTAACCAGACAGGCAGTAACACAGCCTTAAGAGACAAACATGAAAAAACAAATATTTTTCTTTTGAGTAAGTACAACAGATAAAGAAATAATGTTCTGATAATAGAATGTGTGACAGAAGTAAAGGGCATGGATGGTAAAGTGTCATTTTGATAAAGTACTGATTTAAAAAAAACAAACAATAAAAATGAAAAAACAAAAAGACAGGACATCTGCTGCTTGCTAGACACTTTTATATGCGTCTCTTCCTTCCTGTCCAAATGAGGTTAAAAGTGTGATGACATTTCTTGAAAAAAAAAAAAAAAGACAAATGAGGAAGAAAGTATTTTCCTGTGTAAGCAACTTGAAAAACAATGCACAGTGACTAACGGTTGTGCAAGGTCACATCAATTTCTGTTAAACATGAAAGGCCATAGAGATGAATCTGGTATGGTTCTGGATATTAGAAACCTCAGCTCTCCAGCCAGGAGTGTTGGCTTGAACCGGTTCACTAATGAAAGCGTTGAAGCTGCTGCATCTGTGTCAGGTAAGACACAAATGAAATTTTAGTGGGTTTTCTTACACTTTTTAGTGTGTGTAATGAATGTGTGTGTGTGTGTGTGTGTGTGTGTGTGTGTGTGTGTGTGTGGTCCTTTACAGGAGGAAAGCTGCATAAATGGATTGCTGGGAGCTTTTGTCTCTTATGTATCCTACAGGCTGCTCTCAATGTTTCCCTGCGTCTGGCTCTGCGTAAGATGGCTTTAATTATAACTTAAATACTCATGTTAATAAATGTTGTTATTGTGGAAACAGACAACAGAATGGTCTATCACCACTGTTGCCATCTTATGTATAAATGATGCATGATGTCCCTAAGCTAGTTTATTGTTACGGTTATTTAAAAGAATAGTTTTAAAGAAAAATGTTGTGTTGGGTGGTCATAATCTGATATTTTGCTAATCTCTACACTAGGTACTTATGTTACCTGTGAAAATCGAACTAATGTAGAAGACAGTTTGAAGAAGATCAACTTTGGTAAACATCATGGGGATAAAAGCCCTCTAATAGTCACAAATAAATGCTTATTAAATATTGTGCACACATAATTTGTCAGGTTTTATAAATGCCACATATTAATTAAATAAAGCTGCCAGAAATATGGATAAAATTTTACAGTGTGCAAATAAGCACGAACTATATACACTACCAATCAAAAGTTTGGACACACCTTCTCATTTAATGGTTTGTCTTTATTTTTACTACTTTCTACATTGTCGTCGTCATCATCATCATCATCATCATCATCATCGTCATCATAGTTTATGTATATATCACCTTAAAAACGCGCAAGGCTTACCAAAGTGCTGAATAACAGAAATATAAGAGATACAATAAGAATAATAAATACGATAAAATAATAAACATTGTAAAAATAATAAAATATAAGTAAATACAAGTCAGAGTCAAAAGCCAGTGAATAAAAATGCGTTTTTAATCTGAATTTAAAAACCAGCACTGATGTTGATTGACTAATGTGAAGAGGAAGATTAGATTGTAGATACATACTGAAGATATCAAATATATGAAGCAAGATATATGGAAGAATGTAGGCAAGAAAAAAATGATAAAGAACTTGATGTAAGTTTTAGATTGCTGAAAGAAGCCACCCTTTGCTTTGTTGACAGTGCTGCTAACCCTTGGCCTTCTCTTACTTAGCTTTATGATCACCTGAAATAGTTTTCACTTCACAGGTGTGCCTTGTTTGGGTTCATTTGTGGAATTTCTTACCTTCTTAATGGGGTTGCGACCATCAGTTATCTTGTGCAGAAGTCAATTTGGTACACAACTGACAGCCTATTAGAATTCATGCTATAGCAAGGACCAGTCAGCTAAGTAAAGAGAATTGACAGTCCATCATTACTTTAAGAACTGAAAATAAGTCAGTTATTAATTTGTTAAAACTTTGAATGTGTCCCCAAGTGCAGTCACCATACCATACCATACACTTTGCGTTTAGTTGGACCAGCATTTATTTTTCAACAGGACAATAACCCCAAGCACACCTCCAGGCTGTGTAAGGGCTATTTGACCAAGAAGGAGAGTGATGGAGTGCTGCCCCAGATGGCCTGGCCTCCACAGTCACCTGATCTGAACCCAGTCAAAGAGATGGACCACAGAGTGAAGGCAAAGGGGCCAACAAGTGCTCAGCATCTTTGGTAACTCTGTTGGAAAACCATTTCAGGTGACTACCACATGAAGCTCATCGAGAGAATGCCAAGAGTGTGCAAGTTATCAAAGCAAAGGGTGGCTATTTTGAAAAATCAAAAATATATAACACATTTTGAGTTATTTAACCCTTTTTGTTTACTACATAATTCCATATGTGTTCATTCATAATTTCGATGCCTTCAGTGAGACTACAATGTAAATATTCATGAAAATAAAGAAAAACCATTAAATGAGAAGATGTGCCCAAACTTTTACCTGGTAGTGTATACTTTCATACATTTATGCAATACATTCAGTTTAAAATTATGTTTTTATCATGCTCTGCTTATGTTTCACGTGTTGGTAAGCTCTCTAAAAATATCAGCTTTGCAGGATTCTATGAATAAGGAGCGAGAAGAGCAGAAGAGGCAACTCGATTATATTGGTGAATACACGTGTTTCCATTAGTTATCAGAAAACTGGCAATGTATGTAACAGCTCGTCTCTCTTATCTTATGGCAGCTTCACAGCTTAATTTCCTGACAAAAGAGAGAGAGGAGTTGAAGAGGAAGCTAGAGGACTTTGGTAAGTGTGAGCATGAAACTCATACTCATACTCATAACATGATCATATCGTTTTCTTGCTGCCAGGATTGCACAACCAGTTATTGGGTATAGGTGAAAATGCTCTTTATGATTTCCTTACTGTACTGCCTCATGCAGAATTTTCTGTTCTCGTTTTAGTCATTGCTGACATCGCTGTTGGGTTTTGTTTAGTTTCTGTTCTTCTAAGTCACGTCTGTTTTTGTATTTCATCTTTCTATGTTCCGTGGTCTCCCTCCTATCTTCCCTCTGTGTCAGGTTCATTTTATTTTCCCAGTTCTGTTGTTTCTACGTGTTGTGTTGTGTTTACTTCCCCATCTCATTATATCAGTTGTGCCACCTATCCCCTCGTTATCAGGAAGATATATTGTGTCTGTCTCCCTCTGTCTATTGTGGCACCATCCCTCAGCTCTCACATCTGTGTGTACACTAGCTCTTTACCTCCCTCCTCCAGGTATCTTCTAGTGCTTTTGATCTTGTGTAGTTTGGGCTTTCATCAATAAATGTTCATTTTAAGTTTACTCCTTCCTTCTGTGTCTCTGCATTTTGGTTCCACAAATAACCAGCTCAAACAACAACACATGACAGGGGATATACCCATTCACAGCACTATACACTATATACACAATACCAAACAAACACATTCAAATGAAAACTATGTTGTATCTTTTAACATTTGACACTTATTTCACAGGTGTTATTTAGGTTTGTACAATACTGTAACTACAGTTCATTCTTTCTTCTCATGAAAGCTCACTATGCGCAACAAGGTTGGCTGTATTTCAACGGCAGTTTCTATTATATTTCTTCAATCACGAAAACTTGGCAAGACAGTAGAGATGACTGTTTGCAGAGAGGCGCAGTCTTGGCAATCATCAGCAACACAGAAGAACAGGTATGTTCATTTATGATATAATTAGATAACAGAGTGAAACATTTAAGTAAAACAAAAATGTGTGTGACATCATTTCAATGGTTGATTGCTGCATGTTTATGCTTATGTGTAAGGAATTCATAAGACTGCAGCAGAAGGTAATGTGGATTGGACTGACTGACAGAGAGACAGAAGGAGTTTGGAAATGGGTGGATGAGACTCCATTGACGGCAAGGTTTCCACTTTAAAAATTAATCAAATTAAATAATTCCTCTATTATGTTTAGATTGTAAATATCATGAAATTGTTGATTTTAAGTTGTTTCTAATTTGCACGTGTTTGTGTTGCGATTTTGTCCTCTTTATCTTTCAGCTTCTGGTACTCTGGGGAGCCCAACAATTTTAAACACAGAAATGAAGATTGTGTAGTAATAAATCACTACTATGATTATGAAAACAACTGGAATGATGCTGCATGTGAAAACCTAAACTTTTGGCTCTGTGAAAAAGACATGTGAAACATGTGGGTTACAGTTTTGCTTTGTTCCTGCTAAATAGTTTTAATAAAATATCCTGCATTAAAAAAGTCTAAAATGTGAATGTTCCCCTTTAAGCCCTTTGTGAAACAGTAAAAGTAAAGATCTGTGTATTGTTATATCTCACTCAAGTGTTCATACAGGTTAATCAGGACTTAACAATTAACAGATCTTTGGGGCCTACTTTCCAGGCCACTAAATCTTAACCCAGTTAAATACCAAGTGCACAGATTATAGAGAAGAACTGCTGATAGCAGGTGTGTGATTTGTTTTTGACTGCAAAGCCACCCTGGCAAGTACATATTCAGTGGACGCAGGATTGACATACAGGGGACCCTGGTCCCCCAACTAAAATACTATGAAGTATGTTTATACAGTGTAGCCATGTCAAAAACTGTTTTTACAAATGAACTCATTCTCGCAGCTGGAAATACTCTGATTTAAGCCTTGCAGAAGCCAGAAAACATAAACTCACTGTAAATTAATTTGACAATTTTCTGCCATATTTTTATGTGGTGCAACTCGGACATTACATGGTTATTATTAAAAGTTTAAACTTGGGAATATATTTTCCTCGATGTGGCCTCTAAGATAAAATGACTTTGAAACCTCTTGCATAGAGGAACCAGGGACCATAACAAAAACTGGCTCAACTAACAAACCATAACTTAAGATAGAACTACAGCAAAGCAGGAAGCTATGTGCTTAAAACTGCAGATGCTGTCAAAAATGAAAGAAAGATAAGGAGGTTCGCTATATCCAACAAGGATGGATATACTTCAAACACAGTTTATATTACGTTTCATCTACTGAATACACCTGGAATGACAGCAGAGAGGACTGTCTGCAGAGAGGGGCAGACCTGGTGATTATCATCAGCAGAGAGGAACAGGTACAGTATATAGGAGCAAAATCTGTTTCTGAGACACAAAGACAAAAGTGTCTCAGTATTTCTATATAAGAGAAAAGTCCTGGAATGATGTACCATGTGACAGTAAAAAAGTCTGGATTTGTGAAAAAAAATGTAGAGATAATTTAACCCACCAGAAAAGATGTAAGATGTAAAATCATGACAAATATATGTAGTCATATAATATCACCATTGATTTCAGGTAGTCAGCTGATTTTAAGTGAAAGCAGAGAGGCAGAAGAAAAGACAACCAACATAATACTTTGTTTATAAAGTTGGTGTGCAGGCTGTTGTCTGTATATTATATAATCTTATATAAAGCTTCTCCAGCTTTTCTCAACATATTCCAGAAAAAACCAGAGTGCCATAAACATGTGGACTGATCTGTGTGAGGGAGGAGGGAGGTAGTGACGTGGCATTTCAAACCATATAGTTTTATCCTTCCGCACTGAGTAGTAAAATCTCCATCTTACTTACTTTTTTTTTTTTTTTAATTTAAGACAACTCAAATGACCAGAGCTGATCAGCTTTTTGAATAAAAAGTACTGGTAACTTACTTAAACTGAGTTCTAAAAACAAGTTGATAAAAACTCAGTCTACTTGATATTTTTAGTTAAACACATTATTAGATTTTACAGTGTGAAAAGAATTTAGATAATGTTCAAATTTTCATTTAAAAATATATATCTTTACCTAAATGTGAATGGATTTTGCCACAATTAAACAAATATGTAGGACTACTTTCTTCCATTTGCCTAATATCACTAAAATTAGAAACATCTGGTCTCAAAGTGACACTGAAAAATTCTATAGAGTCTAGTGTCCTACTTTAGATTTTTGCATTTTCTTTTTAGTGTTCTGACTATTTAGTAGGTTCTCGCCCCTGTGTCCCCTCCTTGTATCTGTGAGTTCCCTTGACTAGTTTCTCCTCCTTGTGTTTAATTTCCATTTTTTCCCCCATCCCGTTATGTCTGTGCTCTCCTCGTGTTCTCTCTCCCCCTCTGCGTACTTCCTGTTTTACTTTGATAGTCTCCCATCAGTGTACGTCCTGTCGTGTTTTCTCCTGCCCTGTCTTGATAAGATTATCAGTGTCACCTGTGTTCCCCGTTTGCTCCCACATCCCTTGTTATCCTTCTGTGTATTCATGTCTGCGTCTCCCTCAGTTCTCCCAGTTTAATTTTGTATTGTTTATATTGCCTGTTTCCCAGCAATAAAGGTGTGCTTTTTAGTGATGGGCAGATGAAGCTTCATGAAGCACTGAAGCTTTTCATCCAATTGGTTCACCCCAGCGCAAAGTTTCTTGAAGCTTCATTTGCTCTAGTAGGACACCTACTGGACGTAAAAATATTAGTTGGCATGAATTTGAAGAGTGTGGCCTTTTGCACACAGCCTGTATATGTCAACAACAAAAGGAGTGTGTAAAACATGTATATTGTAGTGATGGCAGTATACTGTGTATATTTATACTGGCAGTATGGAAAATGATCATTTGGAAATGCTTAAAATGGAAATGATCATTTACTGTGAGGTGAGGTGTGGTTGGGGTGTGGACAGTGGTTGTGCTTTTGTAACGTTAAGGTATGGACAGCTACACACTGAGGCGTCAGTCCTGCCTGTTCACATTTTATTCTGTAAAAACTAAATTTTCACTGCTTTTATGACCTTTTTAGTGGGGAGAACATAGCTAGGATTGAATGATTTAACAAATCTTTTAAATCCTTTGTCCTCCACAATGCTAAATGGCTGGGAGTCCTCAATCACCATGCTAACCAGGT